GGAAGTGGTTGAGTCACCATCCCTGGAGGTATTTAAAAGACGAGTAGATGAGGCACTTAGGGACATGGTTTAGTGGGCATGGTGGTGTTGGGTCAACGGTTGGACTCGATGATCTTAGAGGTCTTCCAACCTCAATGATTCTATGATTCTGTCTTTAGTCTATGATCTTTCCTTGGCTTAAGGTATTATGAAGCAGTTGAAGACGACTGGCATTTTCATATAGTATGGAGGGTTAATTTGGTGGAATAAAAGCAAGTTAAAACAGTATACAGACAAGGGTTTTCTAAAACTAGTCTGCTGCCTGCTTGATGCTTGGAGGTGGAAAAGGGGTGTGAGGGACAAGGAACAGAGCTGTTCCTCGTTGTCCCTTCACTGCATCTTTCTTGAGGGAGGGCAGAAGGAAGGTGTACAGGACCCAGTTTCCCAGGCAGGAAACTGTACAGATAGTATGGGCACAATCCAGTGCTGTTGGATGTGAAAAAAGGAAATTTTAAGATGCTGAAGGAAGGGAGATTTAGTCTTCGCTTTTAGAATAGTGAAAGTCCTTGCATGGCTAACTCTTTTGGAAGATACTAATTCCTTAGGAAGTAGCTCTCCTGGCTGTTCATCCAGCAGACCCAGGGCTTAGAGGAACTTTGTCCTAATGATAAGCAGTGTGGACTTGTCCTCCACTACTAGTTTGTGTAAATCCGTCTAGCACTACATACACACAACACTTCTGCTTGAGGTCCTGTCCCGGTTTCAGCTGGGATAGAGTTAATTTTCTTCCTAGTAGCTGGTACAGTGCTGTGTTTTGGATTTAGGATGATAATGTTGATAACACACCGATGTTTTAGTTGTTGCTGAGCAGTGCTTACACTAAGTCATGGGTATTTCGGCTTCTCATACTGCCCTGCCAGTGAGAAGGCTGGAGGTGCACAAGAAGCTGGGAGGGGGCACAGCCAGGACAGCTGACCCAAACTGGCCAGAGGGACATTCCATACCATGGGACGTCACGCTCAGTACATAAACTGGGGGGAGTTGGCCAGGGGG